CGAACTATCTAGAAGGTGTCCTGCCCCTGTCACCCCTCCAGGGGGGCCCCGCCAGAGCGAGGAGGGCATCGGAATACCATACTATTTACAAGGTTTCGCGCCCCTCCCACCCCTCCAGGGAAGCCCCGTCAGAGCGAGGAGGGTATGGGAACACCCGACTACTTACAAGGTGTTCGCCCTGCTATACAAAAGCAAAGGGGTGCGTCCTGAACAGCCATCCTCCCCTTCCATGCTGCTTCCCCTCTTCGCTTTCGTCGGCCGTTTCATGACAATATATGAACATCATGGGCCTTTTTTTCTTACTACTTTTGTGCCCCGGCGACCCCCAGTCGGCGCGTGAGAGGCCCTTCGACGCGAGGCCAGCCCAACCCAAACTGGAGTACGCCAGTCTCCTTTGAATCTTCGTCGTCGTAAGGGAAATCGGACAAGGGGGGACCGAACACTGTCGCAATCACGCCAAAGGGAAGCCCCTTCCCTTTGTTCCTTCCTTGCCAGGGGTCGGGTCCCAAAGGGGGTCCCCGGGGGTTGGTCCCGGGGGGTGGTCCCATGGTCCCGGGAAGGGTCCTATAGGGGGAGGGGTCCCCAGGGCGGGGGTTCGACGGGTTGTGATCCCGCCCCCGCCCGGCGCTTTCCCCGAGGGGGGGTCCGGCAGGTTGCTTCCCCTCTCCGTCTTCGCCTCCCGTCAGACGCCCGTCCCTGCCCTGGCCCCGGCCCCGGCCCCAGGTCTGGCCCCTGCCCCAGTCCCAGCGCCGACCCCGCGGGGTGGAGATTTCCCCTCCTTCGGCTTTCGGCTCCCAGCTGCCCGTCCTGACCCTGGCCCCAGCAGCCCTGGCCCCGGCCCTGGCCCAGGCCCCCGCCCCGGCCCAAGTCCCAGTCCCCGGCCTCGAGCCTGGACTGGCCCCGTTCCCTGGCCCCGCGGGGGCGTCGCGGGGTCCTGGGGGTTGTGATCCCTTTTTCGCTGGGGGCTTGGCTTTCGCCTCCCAGACGCGCACCCCCGAGGAGACAGACGGCTATCCTCCTCCGCCTTCTTCTCTTATTTTTTATTGCTTGTTTCTTCTTCTTATTATTTTTCGTCTTTGTTTTTCGGATTATTCTTATTACTCATATCCCTCCTCCTCCTCCTCCTCCTCCTCCTCCTCCTCCCCCTTTTCCTCTTCCTCCTCCTTCTCCTCCTCTGCGTTATCCTCCCTCATCTCCTCCTTCTCCTCCTCTGTGTTTTCCTCCGCTTCTTTCTTCTCCTCCTCCTTCTCCTCCTCCTCCTCAGCTCATATTCCTTACGAGTAGGCCTTTCGCCTACGACCTCCTTACGATTTGCGCATCTGAAGCTCGCCTTGGCGGGTGGTTCTCAAAATGTGGCACTCGCCTCAGCGCCGCGCACATCTGCTTTAGAACCTTTCCAACAGCTTTACGGCTGGAGGGCGGTGGCTCTCGCCTCTGCGCCGCGCGCACTCGTTCCAACGATTTGCAAGAGCTTCACGGATTGAAGACAGGTCGTTTGCAGCATGCGGCTCTCGCCTGTGCGCCGCGCGCATTCGTGTTACACATTTGCAAACGCTGCGCGGAGTGAGGACAGGTCGTCTGCAACTGATGGCTCTCGCTTTAACGCCGCGCGCATTCGTAACCATGTGCAGGGGCTTCGCGGATTGAGGGCGGAACGGTTGTCCCCAAACCAGCCACTTCCCTCAGTGGAAATGACCCTCCTTGTAGGGGCCTATGAAGAGGGTGCTTGGAGGGAGGGTGAATTCCAACATCGTTGATGAGTCTTGGGTTTGCACTGGTCTTCCTTATCCTCCTCCATCTCGTCCTCCTCCTCCTCCTCCTCCTCCTCCCCTTCCCCCTCCCCCGTCCCCGTCCCTTCCCCCTCCCCCTCCCCCTCCTCCTGCGCCTCCTCCTCCTCCGCCTCCTCCTTCGCCTCCTCCTCCCCCTCCTCCTCCTCCTCCTCCTCCTCCTCCTCCTCCTCCTCCCTCCACCGTCCGCCCCATGTCCCGAGCCTGTGGCAGGGTCATCAGCTCGTCGTTGTCGTTGTCGTCGTGGTGGTCGTGGTGGTTGTCGTCGTCGTCGTCGTCGTCCATTCTGGGTCGGCGGCATCGGCCGTACGGCCTTCAGAATATCTCCTCCCTCTCGTACCCCGAGACGTGTCGGTCCGTCTTAGAAGTCAACAAGATATTCACGGATAGAAGGCAGGTTGTTTTCAAAGCGTGGCTCTCGTCTTGGCGCCGGGAACACTCGTCTTAACAGTTTGCAAGCGCTTCATGGATGGAGGGCGGGTGGTTTTCAAAATGTGGTTCGTCTTTACATGATGGGAATGGTTTCAAGGATGGAGGGCGGCTCCATTCCAAAATGTGGTTCTCGCCTCGGCGCTGCGCACATTCGCCGTGAAGCATTGCGCAACGTTTGACGGATGGAGGGTGGGTCGTCTTCAAAACGTGGCTATCGCCTAAGCACTGCGCACATTCGTTATACAAGTTGACAATGCGTCAACGGATTTTACGGCTGACGTTCCAGAACTGGTGTTCTGGCACGGTTTACATATTGTCAAGGAACAACAGTCACGTCGATTCGGGATGCTGAAATTCCAAGAACGGTGTTCTCGCACAAATCAGGATCGTCAGGACCCAACCGTCACGTTGATTCTTGGCGTTGAAATCCAGAGAGTTGCATGTGTTTGCGCACGGTTACGGATTCTCAGGCTGTTGTCTTCCAGTGGGGCCCTTCCAGCAGTGAGATGACTTCGTGTGGGTTCCTATGAAGAGGGAACCTGGATGGAGGGTTTACTGCAACATCGTTGATGCGCCGTGGGTTTACACTGGTCCTTCTCCTCCTCCTCCTCCTCCTGCTCCTCATCCTTCTACTTATGTTTGCGTGTTCTGCGCTGCTGCTCCTTCGAACACGCCTCCTCCTACTCTTCCTCCTCCTCCTCTTCCTCTCCTCCTGTTCCTCCCTCTTCTCATCCCTCTTCTCATCCCCTCCTCCTCCTCCACCTCCTCCTCCTCCTTCTCCTCCCTCTTCTCATCCCCCCGTCCACCTCCTCCATCCCCCTCCCCCTCATTCCACAACTACGCAATCTGAATACTACTCTCCTTTCTCCCCTGACTCTGTCCAGAAGATGTTCGGCCCCGCTCCGCGTACAACTTTCATTACATACAACATTCCGGCGATTTGGTCTTTTCCCTACCTAGGCTCTGCCTAGAAGGGTTCTTACCCTGTGTGCTTAAAGGGCCGGGCAGTGTAAATCGCCCAGGGCGGTTCCCCCAGGATCCGCCCCGCGGTTCGCCCAGTCCCCTGGGAGCTTTAGCTTTAACTTTAGCTTGAGCTGTAGCTGAGCTTTAGCTTAGCGCTAGCTTAGTTTTAGTTTTAGCTTAAGCTTAGCTTTAGCTTAGCTTTAGCTAAAGCTTTAGCTCAAGCTTTAGCTTTAGCTTAGCTTCAGCTTAGCTTCAGCTTAGATTTAGCTTAGCTTTAGCTTAACTTTAGCTTAGCTTTAGCTTAGATTTAGCTTAGCTTTAGCTTCGCGTCAGCTTGGTTTTAGCTTAACTTTAGCTTAGCTTTACTGTTACTACTAATGCTGCTTTCCTAGGGGCTCCAACTCCTAGGTATGGTCGCACTGGGACAATTATATGTGTTTACACATCCGTGTTTCCGGTCTTTTAAAATGTTGCTCCCGCTACAAGGCAGGCCTCAATTTTGGGCTCCCGCTCGTTTCGAATCGTGCTCCCGCTGCAGCGCTGGCCTCATTTCCGCGCTTCTGCTCGTTCCGAATTGCGCTCCCGCTGCAGCGCTGGCCTCATGACCGCGCTTCTGCTCGTTCCGAAACGTGCTCCCGCTGCAGCGCTGGCCTCATTTCCAGTGCTATGCCATGGCATGTAATGCAATGCTCTGGTGTGTTCCGCTGTGCGATGCCATGCCTTCAGCTGCAATGCTATGCTACGAAGTGCTTGACTACGCAATGCCACGCCATGCTGTCGTATTACGCGTTGATCTTCAGCGCCATGCAATGCCATGTAAGGCTATGTCATGTTGCGACATCCGACTGCGCGACTAGAGAGGAGACCTACGCCATGGTCAGGGATGGTAGGGAGGGGTAGGACGTCAGCTAACACGCTTGCACACCTAGCTTACCCCCCCTCCTCCCCCTCGTCCTCCTCCTCCTCCTCCTCCTCCTCCTCCTCCTCCCCCGCCTCCTCCTCCCCCCCCGCCTCCTCCTCGCCCTCACCCCGCCTCTCCTCCTCCTGTCCTCCTCCTCCTCCTCCTCCTCCTCCTCCTCCTCTCCTCCTCCTCCTCCTGCTCCTCATCTTCTCCCTCCTGCTGCTTCCTCGTCCCTGCTGCTGCTGCTGCTGCTGCTGCTCCTCCTCCTCCTCCTCCTCCCCTCCTCCTCCTCCTCCTCCTCCTCCTCCCCTCCTCCTCCTCCTCCTCCTCCTCCTCCTGTTACTCCCTCTGCCTCCTCATCCTCCGCCTCCTCCTCCTTCTCCTCCCTCCTCCTCCTCCTCCTCCTCCTCCTCCTCCTCCTCCTCCTCCTCCTCCTCCAAACCCCTCCTCCCCCCCCTCCTTCCTCTCCTCCTCCTCTTCTCCTCCTCCTCCTCCTCCTCCTCCTCCTCCTCCTCCTCCCTCTCTTTTTCCTTCTCCTCCTCCTCCCTGTTCCCTGTTCCGAGGCGGCCACAGTGTCTTCCGCGGGCAGCCAAACGAGAGATGGGGGACGGAGAGACGAGAGGCTAGGAGCGGCGGGACGGGTGCAGCGCAGCCGCGCTTGCGCCCGAGCCCTCAGCACGGGGCAGCCCGCCAGAGCCTGCCCCTCCTCCTCCTCCTCCTCCTCCTCCTCCTCCTCTTCGTCCTCCTCCTCCTCCTCCTCCTCTTTCCCCTTCTCCTTTTGCCTCTCTTGGCAGCCCTCGGGGCGCTACTGGGCCAGGCCCCCACTCGCGCCCCCCACCCCCCCTGCGGGCGGGCGTCGGGCCCAGACCCCCCCACCGAAGCCGAGGACGCGCGCCCCGACGGGCGCGCGCCGCCACGTCCTGCAGCAGCGGCACCCCCGCCGGCGGCGGGGTGCCGTTCAGCGGCGTCACCGCCAGGCCCTGGGGGCGGGGCGTCGGGGCGTGCGGAGGGGAGGAGGAGGAGGAGGAGGAGGAGGAGGAGGAGGAGGAGGAGGAGGAGGAGGAGGAGGAGGAAGAGGATGAAGAGGACAAGGAGGAGGAGGAGGAGGAAGAGGAGGAGGAGGAGGAGGAGGAGGAGGAGGAGGAGGAGGAGGGGCGTCGGAGTCCGCGGAGCGCCGGGCGCGTCCCTGAGGAGGGCCCCCGCGAGGAGCGCGGCGGCGAGGCCGCGGCCCGCAGGCGGCGAGGAGGCCGCGGGCCGGCTGCGCGCTCAAGGGTGGCCTCTGGTGCGCGGCTTGCCGATGGCTGCGCGCGGCGTGCGGCGGCGGCCTGCGTGCTCGGGCTCGGCGCCCCCGCGCCGCCCGACAGCTGCGCAGCAAGGGCCACGCCAGCGAGGGGCCACTCGCACGTGCACAGTGGAGGCGCATGCCACGAAGCACCCTGCCTGCCTTCAGGGTGTCTCGGGTTTCGATGGCGTTGCGATGGGGAGCGCGGCGTTCCCACCTACAAAATCAGTGGAGGTCCTGGGGTCTCAGGGCTGGGTGTCTTGTGGAAGGCTTCTTGTGGACTGGCCTCCACTGTAATTCGCTGAGTTAGGTGCGGGAGGTTCGTGTCGTGACGACCCCGGCATCGGTTTCTGTCGCCGCGTGGATCGTTCCACCTTGAACGATCGGCGGCTTTTCGACCGCCAGACCGTTCCAGCTACTTCGGGGCGCACTGTCCCGGGCCAGGCAGGCCTTGCAGGATCCTGCAAGACCCTGCAGGAGCCTGCGCCCCATCCCGGGTCAGGGCCGCCCTGGCGCTTCAGGATCCTTGGGCGCCCGAGTTATCCGGGGTAACTCGGGTCCGGGGTAACTCGGGTTTGGATTCCCGACAAGAGAACCCGAGTTAGCCCTGACCCGAGTTACCCCTGATGATTCGGGATTCGGGGCTCTCTTGACAGCCGATTTATCCGGGTACTCGGGTCGCGGGGTAACGTCGGGTTGGATTCCCGATTAACAAAAAACGAACCCGAGTTATCCTGAACCCGAAAAAAAAAAAAGGTTTTTTTACCCCTGATGTAATTCGGGGCTCTGGACGGCCCGAGTTATCCGTGTAACTCGGGTCGGGGTTAACTCGGTTTGGATTCCCGAAAAGGAACCCGAGTTAGCCCTGACCCGAGTTACCCCTGATGATTCGGGGCTCTGGACGCCCGAGTTATCCGGGGTAACTCGGGTCCGGGGTAATTCGGATTTGGATTCCTGAAAAAGAAACCCGAGTTAGCCCTGACCCGAGTTACCCCTGATGATTCGGGGCTCTGGACGCCCGAGTTATCCGGGATAACTCGGGTCCGGGGTAACTCGGGCTCGGATTCCCGAAAAGAGAACCCGAGGTAGCGCTGACCCGAGTTGCCCCTGATGATTCCGGGCTCTGGACGCCCGAGTTATCCTGGTAACTCGGGTCCGGGGTAACTCGGGCTCGGATTCCCGAAAAAGGAACCCGAGTTAGCCCTGACCCGAGTTGCCCCTGATGATTCGGGGCTCTGAGATCCTGCGAGATCCAGAGCTCTGGCTGACCCCCGCCTCCTGAGCCCCGAATGCTGGCCGATTCTGGGCCACCGGCGGCGTTCCGCCTCGTCCTCCTTCTCCACTCCTCCTCCTCCTCCTCCTCCTCCTCATCCTACCTCCTCCCTCCTGCCTCCTCCTCCTCCTCCTCCTCACTCCTCCGCCTCCTCCTCCTCCTCCTCCTCCTCATCCTCCTCCTCCTCCTCCTCCTCCTCCTCCCTCCTTCTCCTCCTCCTCCCTCCTCCACGGGGATCGCGCAGCCGCGGCGGCACGGTGCGAACCTCCTGCAAGAAAGCTGGCCAGATAGCTGCTCGTTCTGGGGACCTGCCTGGAGCCACTCGCTCCACCCGTCCGTCGATGCTGCGTCGAACGTCCGTCGACTCAATTGAGTCGAGCCTGTGTCGAGCCAGAGTCGAACTGGAGCCGAAGAAGAGTCGAACGGATCCGCTAGTTGGGCCCCAGGAAGGCCCCCCGAAACAAGCAACCAGACACGCGAGGGCCCCCGCGATGGCCCCCTCTGTGCGAGCTAGTTATCCCCCTGCCAGGGCGTCTTCGGTGCACGCTATCCCCGTGGTCGGGGTAGTTGGGCGCGCGGGCTGCAGGCCACGTTTTGAAGAGGCAGCGCCCCGCGTCTCCTTCCTCCTCCCTCCTCCTCCTCCTCCTCCTCCTCCTCCTCCTCAATCTCCTTCTCCTTCTCCTTCTCCTTCTCCTCCCCCTGCCGCACTCCTGCTCTCCTCCTCCTCTTTCCTCCTCCTCCTCCCTTCTCCTCCTCCTCCGCTCCTCCTCCTCCTCCTCCTCCTACTCCTCCCCCTGCTTCCTCCTCCCACCGCCTCCTCCTCCTTCTCCTTCTCTTACCTCCTCACCCTCCCCCCTTCCCCCTCCTCCTCCTCCTCCTCCTCCTCCTCCTCCTACCTCCGCCTCCTCGCTCCTCCTCCTCTTCCTCCTCCTCCTCCTCCTCCTCCTCCTCCTCCTACTCCTCTCCCCCTCCCCTCGCCCCTCCCCGCCTCCTCCTTTCCTACCTCCCTCCTTCTCCTCCTATCTCCTTCTCTTCCTCTTCATGCTATTATCATTCTTCTTCCTACTTCATGTTTCTTTCTTCATCTTCTATTCCCCCTCCTGCCTCCCCTCCTCACTCCTCCTCCTCGTCCCTCGTCCTCGGCGCTCGTCCTCGTCCTCCTTCCTCCTTATCCATACCTCCTCTCGCTTCCCCCCCGGGCTGGCCGCCCCCGCCGAATCTTGGTTTGGAGTGCTTACGGAAACGTCCGACAGATGCGCTGTTAAGAGAACTCCATACAAGATCCCAGCTTATGGATGATGCCGTCTTGACTGGTTTGTTCTAGTTGGGCAGTTGGTGGTTCAGGCACCAGCGACTCATCGATCTCGCAAACCTAGCACCAACCGAACGAATCATCGCCGACCCTGTTCGGCTGTGTGGAACCTCCTTTCGGCGTGCGCTCGAGTCGACGCAGTCATGCCGTTGTCCAGGAGAAGTCGGCCTCACCTCATCCTCTTCAAGCCTGCCAGCGAGAGAAAACCGTAATTAGCAACGTCGTACTTAAGTTGAAGGGAAACCTCTTCCCTTTGGTCCCTCCCCCGCCGTGGGGGGGGGGCCCGGGTGGGGCGGGGGAATGGGGGGGGGGTCAGATACGCATCCGCCCCTGGGCGTCCTGGAGCCCAAAAAAGCGCCAAGACGCGCCAAGAGGGCCCCAAGCAAGCCCAAGAAGAGGACCACGAACTGACATTTCGAGCTTCCCGCCCCAAGAGGCCCCCAGAAGGCCCCACGAGCCCCTCAAGGGGCCCGAAGAGGCCCCCAAGAGACCCCCAAGAAGCCCAACAAAGGCCCCAACAGGCCCGAAAACATCCAAGAGGCCTTTCAACCGCAACCCCAGCACGGTGGCGGGAAGGGCCGTGGGCCACAAGGCTTCCTGTCTGTCTCTGCCACGACTCCCTCGGCCCACATTGGGAACATTTCCTTCGCTTTCTCCTGCTCCCTTCCACCTTAATCCCCCTCCTCCTCCTCCTCTTCCTCCTCCTCGTATTCGTCGTCGTCGTCGTCTTCAGGGTCGGCGGCACCGGCCGAAAAGCTTTAGCAATAATAAAAAACAACCAACCGCGTAATGGGTACGGTCCGGCGCGGTTCTGAAGCCAAGAGTGGGCATCGCAACCCCACCTGGTCTTGCCAAAGGCCCGAGCGAAGAAACGGGATGCCTGCAACTGGATGATGCCCTCAACACGCCTGGAGCAACTGGGTGCAAGGCGAGAACGATAGAGTGATAACCGTGGCCTCAATGAAGATTCCGTTCAAATTTAGCGATTCTCTGCCAGAAGGGAGCGCCGACCAGAGACTCGCTGCTTCTACTGTCCAGTGGTTTCTAAGAAACCAAAAGAAAATACCCTTGCCTGCCATCGCGAGAGAATTCATAAAGGGTCTCGCTCTCCGCGCCACGGTCGGACGTAACCTCTGGCGTGGCCACGCAGAGCTTCGCGCATCGCTCGCCACAGTATCATCCCCTGCGCCTGCCCGACCGGCGCGGGCCTCTGTGCATTACGCCTGAGGTCGGCCACAACCTCCTCCTCCTCATCCTCCTCCTCCTCCTGCTCAGGAGGAGGAGGAGGAGGAGGAGGAGGAGGAGGAGGAGGAGGAGGAGGAGGCGTTGGTAGGAAGCCCACAGACAGGCCACAGACACGAATTGCCGCCCCCTTGGACCGCGAGGCCAGCCTCGTGTCACGAACGCGCTTGGGCCGCGCGCACTCTTCCGAGACCGGCGTGGACTCCTGCACGCGCGCGTCGCCCTTTCGCTCCCGAGCTGGGAGGCCAAACATCTGCTCCCCTGCCCCCGTGTCCCCAGCGCGGCAGACCCGCCGAGGATTAAGTCAGGCCTGTCTCTCTACAGGAGAACATTCAAAAAAATATCCCGGCAAAGCAACCTAACAGCGATGTGTAGGAGCATATCTGGAAGCATTCCCCTTAAGATTCAGATGATAATCCAGTTGTAGAATTCTGCTGTTCTCGCAGTCGTAGTCGCACTCGCGATGACAGTCGCAGTGGCAACGGAAGTCGCAGTCACAGCCTCAGCCTCAGCCTGCCTCAGCCTCAGCCTCAGCCTGCCTCAGCCTCAGCCTCAGCCTGCCTTCAGCCTCAGCCTCAGCCTCAGCCTCAGCCTGCCTCAGCCTCAGCCTTCGCTCAGCATACAGGAACCCTGCCATCTGCATCAGCACGAGCCTCAGCCTCATGCCTGCTTCAGCCTCGGCTGCCTCAGCCTCGCCTCTAGCCTCAGTCCCCCTGCTTCAGCCCCAGCCTCAGCCTGCTTCAGCCTCAGCCTCAGTCTGCCGTCGGCCTCGGCCTCAGCCTGCCTCAGCATCAGCCTGCCTCAGCCTCAGCCTCAGCCTGCCTCAGCCTCAGCCTGCATCAGACTCAGCCTCAACCTCAGCCTGCCTCAGCCTCAGCCTGCCTCAGCCTCAGCCTCAGCCTGCTTCAGCCTCAACCTCAGTCTGCCTGCAACCTCGGCCTCAGCCTCAGCCTGCCTCAGCCTCAGCCTCAGCTTGCCTCAGCCCCAGCCTCAACCTCACCTCAGCCTGAGCCTGCCTCAGCCTCAGCCTCAGCTTGCTTCAGCCTCGGCCTCGGTCTGCCTTCGGCCTCGGCCTCAGCCTGCCTCAGCCTCAGCTTGCCTCAGCCCCAGCCTCAACCTCAGCCTGCCTCAGCATCAGCCTGCCTAAGCCTCAGCCTCAGCCTGCCTCAGCCTCAGCCTTAGCCTGCGTCAGCCTCAGCCTGCCTCGGCCTCAACCTGCCTCAGCCTCAGCCTGAGCCTGCCTCAGCCTCAGCCTCAGCTTGCTTCAGCCTCAGCCTCAGTCTGCCTTCGGCCTCGGCCTCAGCGTGCCTCAGCCTCAGCCTGCCTCAGCCTGCCTCAACCTCAGCCTGCTTCAGCATCAGCCTGCCTAAGCCTCAGCCTCAGCCTGCCTCAGCCTCAGCCTGCGTCAGCCTCAGCCTCAGCCTGCCTCAGCCTCGGCCTCGGCCTCGGGCGGCATCAGCCTCAGCCTGCATCAGCCTCAGCCTCAGCCTCAGCCTGCCTCAGCCTCAGCCTGCCTCAGCCTCAGCCTGCCTCAGCCTCAGCCTCAGCCTGCCTCAGCCTCAGCCTCAGCCTGCCTCAGCTTCAGCCTCAGCCTGCTTCAGCCTCAGCCTCAGTCTGCCTTCAGCCTCGGCCTCAGCCTCAGGCTGCCCAAGCCTCAGCCTGCATAAGCCTCAGCCTCAGCCTCAGCCTGCCTCAGCCTCAGCCTGCTTCAGCCTCAGCCTCAATCTGCGTTCAGCCTCGGCCTCAGCCTCAGCCTGCCTCAGCCTCAGACCGCATCAGCCTCAGCCTCAGCCTGCCTCAGCCCCAGCCTCAACCTCACCTCAGCCTGAGCCTGCCTCAGCCTCAGCCTCAGCTTGCTTCAGCCTCAGCCTCAGTCTGCCTTCGGCCTCGGCCTCGGCCTCAGCCTGCCTCAGCCTCAGCCTGCATCAGCCTCATCCTCAACCTCAACCTGCCTCAGCATCAGCCTTGTTCAGCCTCAGCCTCAGCCCGCCTCAGCCTCAGCCTCAGCTTGCTTCAGCCTCAGCCTCAGCTTCAGCCTGGCTCAGCCTCAGCCTCAGCCTGCCTCAGCATTCAAAATGTGGCCAGGGAATGGAGTTCCGGGAACTAGAAGAACACGAAGTGGCCTACAGTTGGCTCTGGGCATTCAAAATCATGCCCAGGAGTGGAGTTCTGGGAACTCGAAGACCACGAAGTGGCCTACAGTTGGCTGTGGGAATTCAAAATCATGCCCAGGAATGGAATTCTGGGAACTCGAAGACCACGAAGTGGCCTACAATTGGCTCCGGGCATTCAAACTCATGCCCACGAATGGAATTCTGGGAACTCGAAGAACACAAAATGGCCTATAGTTGGCTCCGGGCATTTCAAAATCATGAGTTCTGGGAACTCGAAGACCGCGAAGTGCGTTACTGCTGGCAAAAAAAGAGTCCCCGGTTCTCCCCGGCACCCGTCCGGCATCTGCCCATGCGCCCGGCATACTCCATCGGGTGGCGGCCGAGGTCTCGCACATGCTGCATGAGCTCCTCGGTCTTGTCTCGCATTTGCTGCATGAGCTCCTCGGTCTTCTGCTTCCGCTTGAACTCCTCGGCCTCCGTCCGCTGATCAGAACAGCCCAGGGCCCGCAGTTCATCCAACGCGTCTTTGGGGATGCGGTCGCGATGGTCCGAGAGACGTTTGGCCAACTTGTTTTCGGCCCGTTTTTGTTCGGACGTTCCTTTATTTCGCTTCGGTATCCGGCCGAACTGCTTCACGTGCTCGACGAGCGTTTGCAGAGGACCGCTCAATGCAGCACGCTGAGGAGCAGCGCTGTTCACTGCCGGAGTCTGAGGAGCACCGCTGTTCAATGCAGCAGGCGCAGGAGCACCGCCGCCAGACCGAAAACTACCAGCATGTCCTGGCATGCGGCCGAGGTCTCGCAGTTGCTGCATGAGCTCCTCGGTCTTCTGCTTCCGCTTGAACTCCTCGGTCTCCGTCTGCTGATCAGAACAGCCCAGGGCCCGCAGTTCATCCAAAACGTCTTTGGGGATGCGGTCGCGATGGTCCGAGAAACGTTTGGCCAACTTGTTTTCGGCCCGTTCTTGTTCGGACGTTCCTTTATTTCGCTTCGGTATCCGGCCGAACTGCTTCACGTGCTCGACGAGCGTTTGCAGAGGACCGCTCAATGCAGCACGCTGAGGAGCAGCGCTGTTCACTGCCGGAGTCTGAGGAGCACCGCTGTTCAATGCAGCAGGCTCAGGAGCACCGCCGCCAGACCGAGAATTACCAGCATGTCCTGGCATTAAGGTGCGCAGTAGGCGCTGCGCAGTTCCTTTGAAAGGGAATCTTCGAAAGCAGGGCTGTAGCCAAGAAGGCTACGGGGAGGCTGATGAAGATGATGAGTCTGTGACGCTGTGAGACCACAGACGCTTGATGATGACGATCTTGAGAGTGCTGCTTCGAGGGGAGAAAGAAAGAAGGAGAGAGAGAGAGAGAGAGAGAGAGAGAGAGAGAGAGAGAGAGACAGAGAGAGAGAGAGAGATGGGATCGAGAGCTCCCGGAGGGGGGGTGTGCCCATCCGAGGGAACGGTGCACCCCCCCCTCCTCAGTACTGGCGACGAGGATCAAGCTGTTTAGGGAAAGAAGAAGACCCCACCTCCCCCTATCCTCCCCCGCGGCCTGAGTGGACCACCCAGGCCTGCGGAGGACGTCATAAAGGGTCGGGTACCCAGTACAGAAATGAAGGGAGAAAGGGGAGGGAGGAAAGAGTAAGGAGCCTCCCTCGTCCTGCTCCTCCTGCTCCTCCTGCTCCTCCTGCTCCTCCTACTACTGCTACTACAAGTATTAGATTCTGGCGGAAACGTCCAGTGCACGATGACGCCTGGGTCCGCCGTCTTGCCCTGCACGATGACGAACAAACAAACCGGCAATCGGGTGGCGAGAGATATGACGGGGACATCCAATAAGCAAAATGTGGCCCGAAGAACACGAAGTGGCCTACAGTTGGCTCCGGGCATTCAAAATGTAGCCCGGGAATGGAGTTCTGGGAAGTCGAAGAGCACGAAGTGGCCTACAGTTGGCTCCGAGCATCAAAAATGTGGCCCGGGAATGGAAGTTCTGGGAAGTCGAAGAGCACGAAGTGGCCTACAGTTGGCTCCGGGCATCCAAAATGTCGCCCGGGAATGGAGATCTGGGAAGTCGAAGAGCACGAAGTGGCCTACAGTTGGCTCCGAGCATCCAAAATGTGGCCCGGGAATGGAATTCTGGGAAGTCGAAGAGCACGAAGTGGCCTACAGTTGGCTCCGAGCATCCAAAATGTGGCCCGGGAATAGAGTTCTGGGAAGTCGTAGAGCACGAAGTGGCCTACAGTTGGCTTCGGGCATTCAAAATGTGGCCCGGGAATGGAGTTCTGGGAGGTCGAAGAGCACAAAGTGTGTGACTGTTTGGATGCCGGCCCTCGCTGTCCGGATGCCGCCCAGACCTCCCTTCTGAGTCATCAGATGCTCTCTTTCGACACCACTAGAAACCTATCAGTCTTCGCTGTTAGGTGATAAAAGAATAGTATGGGGACGATTTTTTGCATTTTTTTGGAACTGTTTGAATCTTTTTTGTAAGATTTTTCATTTTCCACAGCAAAATCCGCCTGCAGGGGGACATGCCCGACCTACGTCGAAGAGAGGGACGCGGCTCCCCGCTGGCAAGGCAACCGCGACTGCGCCCAGACAACCGCCCCCAGGAGGTGGCCCAGGCAGGCCTCGCCGGGGGCGCAGGGGATGCGGCCTGGGGCGGCCTCCGCACCCCCGCGCCGCCACCAGCGGCGCCCAGGGAACGCTCCCCGCGCCCCGGGGGCCTACTCGAGATGGGGGGTTTACCAAGGTGGGGGGGCGAGTAACCTTCCGACTGGGCTTGCCCAATCCCGCAACCTCCATCCTCTTCCCCCTCCTCCTCCTCCTCCTCCTCCACCTCCTCCACCTCCTCCTCCTCCAACCCTCCCTCCACACGTTCCGACAGCACATGCCCACCCCTCCAGCGGATGCATTGGTTGGGGGGGGGCGATGATCGTCCCATCCAGAGTGGGCAGGAACGGTCCACATCGAATCTTGAGATCGGATCGCCGATCGGGACGTGCGTCGGATCGGGTCGCATCGGCACGGAGTCGGGATGGAATTGGATCCACCGCGCCAGGATGCACGACGGCGCCAGGGAAGCACGCATCGGGCCGTCGGACGATCAGAATCGAATCGCATCGGGCCTGCCAGAACCGATATCGAATCGGACCAATCGAATGGAGATTGACCCCTGGTTGGGGTGTCGAGACCTCTCTGGACTACGGCAGGTTCGAGTCGTGCCGACTTCGGCGTTGGCTCCTGACACCGCGGGGACCATTCAACCTTGAACGATCAGCCGTTTTCGAAACGTCAGATCGTTCAATCGCCAGCAGCGTTAAACGATGAACGCCGTCGGCGGGGTCGCCCCCGGTCGACACGACGCGAATTTGCCGTACCGTGCGGGCCTGCTGAGGCCAACCCCGAGCGCCGGAGAGGATGCAACGGGCCCTCGCACGAGACCGCTGCCCCGCCCCTGGAGTCCTGCGGCGTGACTATCACCAGATCCATGTCTGGCAAGTTTGCCCCAGCGCCAGCAAACTTCGGAGTTGACGGCGTGCCAGGGGGCATCCTGGGAAGCGGGCGCGGCCGGAACAAGACAGGGCTGGATCTAAACGCTGCTTTTCGTTTGGATCCATATGTTTTCCTGTACCTCCCTCCCAAGACGAAAAGCAACACACAGCCGAAGTCCAGCAAAACAGCGTTTAGGTCTAGCCCTGGGCGAAGCGATATCACATGGCACTCTGAGCTTCGTTGTGGACTCGGGCCTACTCTCCGTTCGGACACAGATGGCGTGCACCGAGGGCACGGCTCAATCATTGTGAGGAGCTCGTAGCTGCACAGGCAGAGCGGCCAACGCAGCCGTCGGACCTAAGACTATGGCGCACGCTGCCCTCGATACAGACTCCAAGAGCCCCTCCCAGGAATCCCACCACTGGGCGCAGGTGGTTTGACGAGGTCTGTCTTCTTTCTTCCATAAGCCCTTCTCCCTCTGCTCGGGGGGGCCTCATCACTGCTCCCGTATTGATAAGCACTCCCTTTCCCAGGCGACCGACAGCCAACCGGGAACAACGCCGACCCTATGATCACCCCCCAGCCATCCCTGTCAACAGACAAAACACAACACATTCTGCCTTCAAATTCGGAGCATGCGCGAACAACCCGATGCGGCCCCCGCGTCATTACTGATAAAAAATGCAAAGTACATGGTGGGGCAAAGTCTTGAGTCATGTTCGTGATGCCCGCGAGCACTTTGTATTTGTTTTTGGCAGGGACGGCGGGGGTGTCAACATATTGCCTGCTGTGCGCAAGGCCATCATCCCTTTCAAACAACAATGCAAAATGCACCTCGCGGCTAATTCTGGACCGTGCGCGGCCACCCTGCGATCATTGTCAACTGGTTGCTGACAGGGACACCGGGGGTGGTGGCGCATGGTCCACTGTGTGCAGGCCCACCAGTGATGGGCATTGGTTTTCGGCCAACATGGTGGGGTCCGAACTGTTTCCCGATTTGTGATGTCACGTGAGCAGGCGCACCTGACACACTTTGCACGTGCCCCGAACGTGGCGCACCTCGCCCAGCTGGACTCTGCGGCGCACCTGGTGCACGTGGCATCTGGCGCACCAGGCGTGCATGGCAATTTCGGGCCCCAGGGGCGCCTGGCGCGCGTGGCGCGCCTGGCACGCGTGGCGCACCTCATGCGACGCTACGAGTCAAACTGAGTGTTGCATCCTGACGATCCTGGATCGTGCCAGGGCACCCTCCTTAGGACTTCAACACCGCGAATCGCATAACTGTTACGCCCTGGCAAACCTGAATCTTTCAAGAACACCATTTCTGAAAAGTTAACGATGAACATCTGCGAACGTCTGGGAAAATCAAACAAGTGTGCGCGGTGATACAACGAGAACTACAGTTTGAAAAAGGAGCCACTCTCAATCCGTGCAACTCTTACCTAATTCTAAAACGTATGTGCGCGGCGCTAAGGCGAGAACCACATTTTGAAAATGTGCCGCTCTCAATCCGTGGAACGTTTGCTCATGTTAAAATTAGCCCAAAGAAAAACCCAACAATATGCAGTTGCGAGTGCCGCGTTGTGGGTACCTGTTTCGGTGAAGCTCCCTATGGGGCCACGAAGCGTGTGAGGGGTGCACCGAAATCGGTGGCGCGGACGCATGTGGACACCGCCATTGGGGCCTTCGGTAGAGCTCCCTATTAAGCCACGAAGCGTTGTCCTGGGTGGGGGAGAAGCGCTGTCCTGGGTGGCGTTGACGCATGCGGCCTGTGCCACTGGAGCCTTCGGTGGAGCTCCCTATGGGGCCACGAAGCGCTGTCCTGGGTGGCGTTGACGCATGCGGCCTGTGCCACTGGAGCCTTCTGTGGAGCTCTCCATGGGGCAACGAAGCGCTGTCGTGGGTGGCGTTGGCGCATGCGGCATGTGCCACTGGAGCCTTTGGTGGAGCTCTCCATGGGGACAGAAACCGCTGTCCTGGGTGGCGTTGACGCATGCGGCCTGTGCCACTGAAGCCTTCGGTGGAGCTCCATGCCGTACGTCGACGAAATGTTGCACCACTTTTGCCGCGCATTGTCAGCTGTATTGCATTGCTCCTCCCCCCCCCCTCCCCCTGATCTTAATATTGGGCACATGGCAAAGGTCCCTTGGCGCCCCCCTCAGGGCTCGCGACAGAATGTTGCACCTCCGAGCCGTTTCGATGAACCCGGGACCGCAGCCAATGTTAAGATTGGGGGGAGGGGGGGGGTGGAAGCGAACATCCATTGCAAAATCGGCTTGCTTTCTTGACAACACCAGGTGGTGCAACATTTTGTCGATGTACCGTATGGGGCCACGAAGCGCTGTCCTGGGTGGGGGAGAAGCGCTGTCCTGGGTGGCGTTGGCGCATGCGGCCTGTGTCACTGGAGACCTCGGTGGAGCTCCCTATGGGACCACGATGCGCTGTCCTGCGTGGCGTTGACGCATGCGGCCTGCATGAGGCCTGTGCCACTGGAGACTTCGGTGGAGCTCCCTGTGGGGCCACGGAACGCTGTCCTGGGTGGCGTTGACGCGTGCGGCCTGTGCCACTGGAGCCTTACCCGCTGTCCTGGGCGGCGTTGACGCATGCGGCATGTGCCACTGGAGCCTTCGGTGGAGCTCCCTATGGGGCCATGAACCGCTGTCGTGGGTGGCGTTGACGCATGCGGCCTGTGCCACTGGAGCCTTCGATGGAACCTCATATGGGGCCACGAAGCGCTGTCCTGGGTGGCGTTTGCGCATGCGGCCTGCATGTGGCCTGTGCCACTGGAGACTTCGGTGGAGCTCCCTACGGGGCCACGAAGCGCTGTCCTGGGGGGGCGTTGACGCATGCAGCCTGTGCCACTGGAGCCTTCGGTGGAGCTCCCTATGGGGCCAGGAACCGTGTGAGGGGTGTGCCAAAATGGGGCGGCGGCGATGGTGATGATCATGATAATGTGGATCATGACGATGGCGATGATGATGACGATGATGACGATGACGAGGCGGATGGGAGGAGGAAGGAGGGGGAGGAGGGAGGGGGCAGCGGGAGGAGGAGGTGAGACGCGGGGCGCTGTCTCCTCAAAACGAGGACCCAACACCACAAGATGGTTGGGAACAAATGTGCGCGGCGCTAAGGCGAGAACCGCATTTTGAAGACGAACCGCCCTCAATCCGTGAAGCTCTTGCACATGTTTAGAACGAACGTGCGCGGCGCTAAAACGAGAGCCGCATTTCGGAAGCGGCCCTCCTTCCATCTGTAAAACAGTTGCCACTTCTAAGCTCCAGGCCCACAAATGGCAATGACATCTCAGGCGAAACGCCCGGCCCGCCCTTCCGACAGGCCTCGGGGTGCGACAGCGAGAAATTATTCTAAGGAACAAGAATGGAGGAGGATGAGCATAAGGAGAAAAAAGAGAAGGAAGACGAAGAGGAGGACGAGGAGAAACGCCGCAGATGTCTCAACTGGAGCTCCTCTGACACATGGGCCCTGCTAACCCTCCCACTGGGCACCCCTGGGCCGTCGAATAGCCAGACTGGCAACCCATCTGCGGCCGCGTACAAGGCTTCTTCGCATTCCCCTCCTCCCTACTTCTACATCCTCCTCTTCCTCCTATTCCTCTTCCTCCCGATCCTCCCGTCCTCCTCATTCTTCCTTCCTCCCTCTCTTCCTCCTCTTCCTCCAGAATCCATGGCCGTGCGTATCCGTATCTGGGAATGACGCAAATACTCGGGGCACGATCCCTGCGCCACCTCAAAGAGAAACACAGAGAGAGAGAAAGTCCTGGAAGCAGCCATGACTGTTTCGCACACTGGCGGAAGAACATGCCCTGCAGAGAGAGCATTTCCTGGGGAAGCTCGCGTATGCTCGCGAGGAACATGTGGTGGTAGGCCTCGCAACGGAGGGAGGATGGGCAGCAAAGGTGAAGAGGCGGGTCGAGGAGTAGGAGGTCGGCTACGGAACATGTGCCCACACAGGGGGTGAGAGCACGGCCATGTGCACCTTGATGTCTTTTTTGCAGGGATGGTGGCCGTCCAGACCAAACATGTACGCAACTGGCATTGGGGGCGAGAGCGCGATTCCTGAATAGAGTGAGAGGAAGCCCTATGCGAAACGGCTGCCCACCACATGATCTCGAGGGCGGTCCTGGACTCCCCGTCCCTCCCGTGGGAATATTCTGAAGTCTTTGTTTGACCTCTGTTAGAACCCTCTAGCAACGCTCCTAGGCAAAAACGGAGCAGGAGGGGGTAATTGGGAGGGGGATGTGATGAGGAGCAGGAACACAGGACTGCGCACGGCAGCACTGCAAGCGGACACAGGATGGCATGGGGACGTAGAAGGGGTCTGTGGTGATGGGAAAGGAGGCTGGTCACACAGAGCGTCCGAAACGCTTCATGCCTGCCGCATCGCCAGTGTATACTTTCGGAACCAAATGGTATGGTCTGTAAACTTACCGCCTAGAACACGGAGGGTCATGGTTCTGAATGTCGCCAGACTCTTTGACACCTTTGCAGACACCGTGTGGACGAACCACAAACGCTCAGGCCCGTAACCACCACCACTGAGCTGAGCATCCAGCAGGACGCGTGGGCACAACAGTGCGGTTGGCAATTATTCGAAACATGCGATAAGAACAACGACGCATATACTCGACTGCGAAGCAACAAAAAACAGCAAGCGGGGAAAGGAGGGAGGGGGAGGAAAGGGGTGAGACAGGAGAGTTACAAGTACAAACTTCAAGTGTTGAGCAATCAGTATCGGGGGCGCGCAAACATGGATTAGCGATCCATGAACTTGGCGCGCGGTCGCCAAACCCGTGGACCGGGGGAGGTGCCCTCCCCAAAATGCGGCAATGCGGCCGGTGCCGCCTCGTTCGGCGGGGCAAGTCCGCGATTTCCCATCGAAGCGGGGCCCGCCGCTCATCCACGCCCCCTTGATCCATGTTCGCGATCGCCTGACAGCAGCAATCAGTGCTCCGAGGAATCGCGGGAAGCAACCACTACCCTCGTCAAAATTAACCTCAACAATTGCTGGCACGTCATTGCGATTTCGGCGCGCCCCTCAATGTCGACACGCCGCCCCTTCAATGTCGGGGCGAGGGGAAAGATAGTCTGACCGAAGTTGACTCGAAAGCTTGACATCGACCGACATTGGAGGGGCGGCGCATGCAAGTACCCCGCACTCATCGATACTCGGCCCCAGATCTTCCGACAAGCAGTTCAACCACGTCAGACATTTTTGAGGTTAATTTTGACGAGGGTTGCAGGACCCCCCCCCGCACATTGAAAGGCAATCCGACAGCTTCCGGCACGAGGGGGGGGGCCGCCCCCCCCGCAGGGGCCCGCGGAGGAGGTGGCCCTCCCCAGCGGGCGCGCTCCAGGCCGGGGAGCCGACCTTCGACGGGAGGGCTGCGCCAACACGTCGGGCGCTGCTCGGAGTGGCCCCTGGCCCAGGGTGCCCCCAGATGGTCGGGGCAGTTTAGGCGGCCTCCAGGGCACCCCTCACGAGGCCCCGGGGGCCCTGGGGGCTCCAAGCTGGAGCGAAAAGCCGGGGGCATCCTGGGCCAGGGGCACTTCTGGCAACACCCGAAGTGGGGTGCTGGGGGCGTTTGCGACAATTGCCAGAGCGCGCCTCGGCTACGTCACCTGCATGCGCTCCAGATGGGACCCAGGAAGATTCCTTTTGGGCTCCCCCAGGCCAGGGGCTTCAACTCTGCGCGCGGCAGGGGAAGAACAGAACGGGAAATAACGCGATTAGTTACTGCATACATATATATATGTATATACATCGATAGATAGAGAAAGAGAGAGAGAGAGAGAGAGAGACAGAAAGAGAGTGAGAGAGAGAGAGAGAGATAGAGAAATAGACTGAGAGAGAGAAGGAGATAAACATAGAAGTAACCAACACGGCACATAATTGTCTATATCCTATATCTTACGTGTGGAAAGAGGAGCAACGAGAGGGAGAGATAGAGAGAGAGAGAGAGAGACAGACAGACAGACAGACAGACAGACAGACAGACAGACAGGCAGAAAGACAGACAGACAGACAGAGGCATAGATCAAACAAACATCTCTATATATATATATACGTATAACAAATAAAGAAGACTACACGAACTCCTACGGAGCTCAGAGGCCCGGCGAGCAGGCGAGCATACCTTACCAGACAGGCGCCGCCACGCGCCGTTGCCCCGACCCTGACCAGACCCGCCTTTTTCACCCTTCTTGGATCCTCTCTGCCTTCCCTCCCCGAGTGCTGTGGCCAAATTGCCCCATGCCCCTTAGAGTTACGTCGGGCATGTCCCCATACAGTCGAGGCGTTGACCTAAGGAACCCTAAATAAGGAACGAGGCCCCTTTTTTCATAAGTGAACCTTCGACTTCCCATCGAAAATTCCAGGACAACCTTGGGCAAGGTGTAGAACACTTAAGGAACACCGAGCCCCTCCCCAACGAAAAGGGTTCCTTCTTCAAGACTCCTACTGTACAGGCGGATTCTGGACGAAAAAGAAAAATATCACGAAAATGCTCAAACATTGGAAAAATAGTCGAATAATCGTCGCCAGACTATGTTTAACATATTTTTGAATATTCCTCCTGTAGAGGGACAGGCCCGACTTACTCTTTGAGACCGAAATCCGCCGAGTTCAATCGAAAACTGCTGAATCGCCGAACGCCTGAAGAGACATCCTCGAACACGCTCCCGACGAGCACCCTCGAAAACCGGTGAACACACCAGAAACCAGGTTCGACGTTTCTATTTGTAAGGTGTCCCCAGATGGGTTCCAGATCATCCCAAGACAGACCCGAGAAACGCCTGGCAGGCGTCCGGAGGCCTTCCCGAGGACATCTAAGATGCCTCCCTCCAATAATATCCCTCTCCTCTGCCTCCTACTTCTGCAGCTGCTCCTCCTCCTCCTCCTGCTCCCCCTCCTGTTCCTGCCCGTCCTCCTCCTCCGTTGTGTCGTCTTCTCCCTCCCGCGCTTCTCCTTCCCGCTCCTCTTCCTGCCCCTGCTCCAGCTCAGAGTCCCTCCTCCTCCTCCTCCCTCCTCCTCCTCCTCCTCCTCCTCCTCCTCCTCCTCCTCCTCCTCCTAACGGGGCACTTCCCTCAGTGGAAATGAAACCCTGCAGGGGCACATGAAGAGGGAACTCGGGGGACGTTTTGGTCCAACATCCTTGGTGAGTCTTACGTTTACACTGGTCGTCCGCCTCCTCTCTCTCCTCCTCCTCGTCCTCCTCCTCTTCCTCGTCGTCGTCCTCTTCATGTTCCTTGTCCTCCTCGCCCTCGACCTCTCCCTCGCTCTCGTCGTTCTCCTCCCCGTCCCCCGTTGCCTCATCCGCTCTGCGCCACCGGCTCGGGCCCCGCCAAAAGTGCCCGCTCGCGCGGCGCCCCCCCCCGGGCCTGCTGTCGAGGTCCCCCGCGCCGCCGTCGAGGCCGACGCGGAAGTCGCAGGAGGACCCCCCTTCCACGGCGCGGCGGGCAAGAAAAGACGGTGCGGGCCGCCCGCTTTTGCGTCGGCGGTTGGGCAGGGGCGCCTGTGCGGGCGATGGATCGGGCCCAAACGGGGGATGCCGTGAAAGCGACTGCGCTACCGTGCAAGAGGATATGTTTGATTTCGCTTCAGCCGAAAGTTAGGCCCGTACCTTTACCCATGCGGGGTGGCAAGGGGCGACGCGCCGCAGCCGACGGCGGTTGCACAAAGGCAGACGCGACGGCCCATGGAACATTACAGGACGCTGTCTTCTCCGGGCATCCACTGGCGCCGAAGGCGCGCGCGTTCCAATCGGCAGAGTGGCCGACCACGCATTGGTCGCTTTCGGGCTAGAGTAGGTCGTTCGGAAGTGCGCCCACGAAGGCGCACAATCTAGCGTCTGGGGCTCGCCGCGCAAAATGCGTCATGGGTGTCCTGGGCGGGCGCCGTTGCAATCACACGCTCGCCCCAAACGCCTGGGGCCCCGAACGCCAGACGCGGTCGCCAGGGGCTGCCCCTTGGAAAGCCCGCCTGGCGTCACCCCAGCTAGGTCCGGGTACGTGTCGGGGGGCACAGTCGCCGACGCGCGTTGATGGTACCCCCGTACACGTACCCGTACCTAATCGAGGTGGCGTTTGGTCGAAATCGTTCTCGGGCGCACGCGCGGCCCCCGAAAGCACCCCCGAACGCGGCCGCTGCGGCCCCCGGGGTAGCGTGAAATTGCAACGACGCTCCTGCGGGCAGTCCCAAACGTAAAAAAGTGGTGGTGCCCGTCGCCAAATGCGACAGGCACCACCACTCCAATGTTGTTCTAAACTCCGCGGACACCCCCGATGCCCCCAGACGTCCCTGACGCAAACCAGGGCATGTCGCTGAAATCGAACAACCAGCCGTTCAGCGCGTCGTTGCGTCCTGACGTGCGGATGCTGAAACAGCGCGCACGAAGCAGGCTGATCGGGCGCTTTGGCAAGCGTTTAATCCAGCGGACGGCCCGTTTCACCCAGGCCAACCCCCGGTAAGGGTATGTGTAGGACCAATGATTTGTCCACCTGCCAGCTATACGTAACAAATGCATGTCTAATGTCTCTGTTGGGGAGGATCTTCTCTCTCTGAGGGGTGACGCTGGCGGGGGGAGGGCGCGGCCGCAACAGAGGCGGACAGAGCGAGCGGCGAGGCGAACAAAAACACGGTGCAGGCCACCCACTTTCGCGTCGGCAGCTGGTCAAGGGACGTCTGCGCCGGCGATAGGTCAGGCCTGAACGGGGGACGCCGTTAAAGCAGATTGTGCCACCGTGCAAGAGAGGAGGAGCGGGAGGAGGGCGCGGCCGAGAGAGGGGGGCGGACGGAGGCGAACGGCGAGGCGCGAGCAGACAGACGGTGAAAGGCCACCCGCGTGCGCGCCGCGCGGTGCGCGCACCGCGAGGCGCGGGTCGTCTCCGCGCCCCCTCGCGCCGTTCCTGCGGAAGAGGGCGCCTTTCCAGCCCAGACCGCGGGGCGCGAAACGCGGTTCGTGTCGCACCCCTGCGGGTGACCTGGGCCGGGAGGGGAGCAGGGAGGGGGGAGGGAAGCGGGGGGGGGGGGTAAGGACGCACGGTGCAGGAGGGATGCGGGGATGCGGGAGGGGCGCACCAGCGAGGGGGGAGGAGGCACGGGGATGGATGAGGCTAAGGGCGAGGATGAGGATGGAGAGCAGGAGAACGAGGAGGATTATGAGGATAATGGCGACAATGAGGACGAAGTTTTCACTCATGGCATGGGCAGAAGGTGCGCCACCCCGAGGCCGGCGAACCCGATGGCCTTCAGCCTCTGGAGCTGGAGGTTCTGGCCTTCCGGTGTCTCTGGGGTGCCTGAGCATGCTCGATGTCGTTAAATGGCTTCCCATCGAAAGGATGCAACCCATCGAGCAGCTTCTTGCGGGCCGCGTATCTCTTGCCACTCTTTGGTGGCCCTTTGCGCTCCTCCAGAAGGCCTTTGAAAACAAAGGTTGTATGATTGCCACACCTCGCACAGAAGACCAACAGGCCATCGTCACAGGTGCCAGCAGACAGGGCATGCATGAGAGGAGTGCACCTTATTGAAGCGCTCTCTGAACTCGCCTGGAAAATCTCTGCGTGCGGCTACGCTCAGAATGCGCGGGTCGGCGTCCCCGCGCCCGCGTTGGGCGGAGAGACAACCGGCGCCGCCAGGCAGGGCCCGACTGGACTTTTCCAAGGGCCCAGCCTGGCAGGGACGCCGAACCCGCCCCAGCGCCCAATAAAAAAAAACCGGGTGGCAGTGGGTGGGTTACAAAGCAGCCTGCGCCGCGCAGGCCGCCGAGTGGGAACGAGAACCCAGGAGCGGCAGTGGCCACGGGAGCCGGTGGCGACGAGGAGGGTCCGTGGCGACGAGGGGCCGTTGCGACGAGGAGCACCAGCAGCACCCTGAGCCCCAGAATGCACGGACAGGCGAGGAGGGGCAGTGGCGACGAGGAGCACGAGCCGCACCCCGAGCGCCCAAGAGCACGGGCGGGCGCGCCAGCACCCGACGACCTGCACAGGGGCAGCACCGCCACTGCCCGAAGGCGCGGTTATCCTCGCGCATTCGCGCCTGGAGGAAGAGATTTGCAAGTGGCGTAGCATCCCCACGCCCAAATCCACCAGCCGCTCGCGGCCACCGGCTGTAAGCACAACGATCCGTCGCGCCACGGGGGGCACTGCCAGGCAGTGAATCAGCGCGCTGCCACTGAGGCCACCGAGGCCAGGAAGCGAGGAGACCACTCGAGTCCTCCTGGAGATTTTCCTGCCCCCCAAACCACTGCACGATTTAGGGGCGATAAAAAGATGTGCAGGGTTCATTACGACGCCGAGAGACGGCATCATCATAATGGCTGAGTGTGAAACAAGCAGCACATCTCCACGCAACATGCTCAGCTCGTTGCCAGTCATGCACTAGCTGGAGCTGGGTCTTATACTGATCGGGGTTACGTATTCTCTGTCCTGGGGTGCTTGGGCCATGCCTCCAGCATCCTGGGAATGAACTTCAGAATGCTAGCGGCGTCCTCCTTCATCTCATCGAATAACGACACCGACGACGGGTCAAACGACGGGTGCATCTGGAGGGTCGACTTAGCAAACCGATCACATTTCTTGTTGATTTGACACGGCAGCATATCCTGAGGCCGAACTTTATCTTCGTCCTGATGAGATTTGACTTTGACCGCGGGTTTTAAGTAGTGTCTGTTGTCACTATCTAGGGCCGTTCTAAATTTGCCTGCGTACATACTACGATGCGAGAGTCTAGCGGCTAGTGGAATCCATCGGGCACCGCCTTACAGTCTACATATGCAGTGGATTCTTGGGTAACCATCCGCAGCGAAAAGCAGAAAAGCAGCAGCGGAGGAGCAGAGGGTCTGCTCGAAAATGGAGGTGGGTGGGTAGAAGAAGCAAAAACGCCATAAACATAAACTTTTGGAGCTCCGCGCGGATTTCCTGGATCTGCGCCGGACCCTCCCTCCCTGGCGCGCGGAGCGCGCCAGGGGAGGCGCCGGAGGCGCCGCCAGGGGGGCCCAGCGCGGATCCAAGAAATCCGCGCGGAGCGCCAAAAGTTCATGCTTATGAGGCTTTTTCTGTTTCGAAGAGGGTCTGCTCGAAGATCGGGGTGGGTGGGGGGCCTGGCACGGCGGGCCCCAGCGCAGAGACCCAAAGCCGCTTTGTGCCCGACGCAGCCCTGGCCCGGCCAGACGACATGGCGCGCCCCCCTGTGAAACACCGGGGGCTGAGGCGTGGGAGCTGGGCGAGCTGGGCCTGGCTCGGCTCGGGGTGGCGCTTTCTCAGCGAGCGAAGAACGGTATAACATAAACTTTCCGCCGTCGAGGACACCTGCCCATGGGCGGCTGGAAAGTTTATACCCCTACGGTGCCACCGTAAGGGTATAAACTTTCCAGCCGCCCAGGGACAGGCGCCCCCGACGGCGAAACACATTATTTTACACCGTTCTTCGCCCGTTAACTTTCCGCCGCCTGCGCCACTCGAAGAGCGGCCCGATGCCCAGCATGCGACGAAGCCTCCAGAGCGAGAGGAACTGGTGCAGGCGCCCTGCTGTGCGAGCTGGGCCTGGCTCAACTGGGGGTGGCGCTCGCAGCCACGTCCCCGCCACCCGAGGAGCAGCCCAGTGCCGAGCAGGAGGCGAACGCCTCCAGAGTGAGGGAGCCCCAAAAGTACGCCCTGCAATGCCCCCCCAGCGACGTGCTGGGCCAAACCGTATGTACGCCCCCTGGCGGCGTGCCGGGCCAAACCGCACGCATGCGCCCTGGCGACATGCCGGCCAAACCGCATCTATGCCCTGGCGAGAGAGCTGGGCCAAACTGCATGTATGCCCTACGTGCTCCGTGCTGGGCCACACCGCATGCGTGCGCTGGCAATGACGAGACGAGGGACGATAACGCTCATAACTCTACTCTGCATGGCGCTCTGAGTCACTTCTGCCCCCCCGAAGAGCAGCCCTGCACGAGAATGTAAGGGCAGACCCTCGAACGCGAGGCTGGCTCAAAAGGACGCCGCGCTGGTGGCAGCCCAGCTTGCCTGGACCACGCAAGGACGTCACGCCTAGCAGAGCCCAGATGAACCTGGGCAGTCGGACAGGCGCCAGGACAGTGTCGACCGACGCCGAAGCATTGGGTCTCGTGGGGTGGGGGTGACGACCCGAGCAGGGAACGCGGCATCCTCTCGTGGCGTAGCTGGACAGGGGGCCCGTGACCCTGCTCGCCAAGGCTTCTGATCATATCCCCAGCGGGGTGATGTTTTTTGTTCCCCATATCCTAAGGATTGGGGTTCTTGTTATTACTCTGACGCCTCCCACTCCTCCTCCTCCTTCTTCCTCCCGCCTCCCTCCTCCCAATGATAATCACCAGATAAGACAAGACAAGATAATATACTACAAGATAAGATAAGATAGCACAAGATATGATAAGGTAAGATAAGATATATGATAAGGCAGGGTAATATATAAGATAAGACAGCCTATGGAGTAATAAGATAAGACAAGATATGATGCGATAAGATGAGTTGATATACGATAAGTTAAGACAAGATAAGAGATTACAAGCTAAGATAAGATAGAGGGTAATAAAGGTAAGATAATATAGGACTCGATAAGATAAGATGAGACTCGCTCTCACTCAGACTCACTCACAGTCACATTCACTCACACTCACACTCTCTCATGATCACAAAACGCTGCCAGGGGCATCATTTGGGAGCCCCAAGG